CTCCAACTGCGAACACGGCCAACCTCACTGCGCAATCATCCGCTCCGCCAACGTGTCCCTCAATATCAGCGCATCCCCCGTCGAAGACTCCATGCACACTGGCCTCAATGGCTGATGCATCCCCAGATCCACTCTACGACGCACGCCGTTTGGACCCACCTCCCACAGCAGATTGTCGTCAAACGGGACGCCGGCGTCGATGAGTATGTTGTGGAGGATGCAGACGGCGACGAATTGTTGCGGCAAGCTGTCCATGTTGCACTTGTGGGTGCGGAGGAACAACCTCCACATCCCCTTCAGTCTGCCAAACGCCCTCTCCACTGCTCCCCTGGCCGTCTTTTGTTTGTTGTCAAAGCGTGCCTCCGTCGGGTGTTGAGCGAGACCGCCGTACGGGACGACTATCCATTCCGACTGCGGATATCCGTTGTCGCCAAGCAAGTAACCATTAGTCCGCACACCGAAAGGCAGCATCACATGCGGCCCAGTGAAAAGTTGTCCTGACTCCGCGCGCACCCACAAACTCGACAGGTTCAGCATCCTTATGTCATGCACACTCCCCGGATAACCGACGAAGACGTCCAGCACACGCAAGTTCATGTCGACCACCACTTGCGCTCCTGTCGTAGTAGTCCTCACCGTTGGCGTTCGCGGGTTTGTCGATGTAAATATGTGTGCAGTCGATGCACCCATGGCAGTTTGGAAACCCCTTGTCAGCGAAGGCGCGCAACACGACCGCCTTCTGCAAACCTGTGGGCCATGATATCTTGTCGGGGTAAGCAGTCAGCAACGCCGCCGTCACGTCACGCACTGCCGTGATGCCGGAAGCCCTCCCGATGCCGAAGCTACACGTCCCGCTGTCGTACGTCTCCCCCGTGGCCCACCTGTACAGTGCATACGCAATGATGTGGTCTGGCTGCAAAGGCACCCTGTAGAACGTCACACGGCGTTGAAGGAGTGGGGAAAGAGTCTCCACGATCTCGCGGAAAACACGAGGCGACATTCGAAGCTTCTCCTTGAAGTAATCATCCGTTGCGTCATCACATTGCCACAGATCCTCCCACGTGCCGCCCGTTCGCCGCTTCACCCACCACCGTGGAGTCGCCCTTGGAACCCCCCGCACCCCATCGCGTAGCAGACCTCCAGCACCGCGTCAGAAATGGCAGCCACATCCAAGCACTGCCCAGTCGTCGGAAGCGCCAACAGCTTGCGCCGTGCACGAACAGCCGCTTTGAAGTTCGTGTCATTGCTCGCCATCTGGCAGCGGAAGAGGACGGCATTAACCACCGCAGCAATAGCCGTCCTCTCCGCCGTCATCAAACCGCCGCGCCCTGCCTCGCCGTCAACGTCCATCCCAGACGCCGCTTCCGATGACATGACGTCAATCAAGACTCCACGAACAGCGCCACACGGAAGATCACAACGTCGGTGGCTGTGCAATATCTTCGGAGTCACGCACTGACGATGGCCGTCTGCCTTTCCCAACGCTCAGGTATCAATGTCGTCTCCCCTTGCCGCCAACGCGTACACGACCGTGCTCATCGACGACAACCGCAGGGGACAATCGTCACTTATGCGAACGCCACGAACGCCAGCCGCAGACGCAACCAGGCGTGAAACGTACGTCCTCCACGCGCCGCCGATCGCAAAGCCTGATTTCAAATTTCAAATTTTGAACAGGAACGCTGCGCGCCATTTCCAAGGGCCCCGGTTTTGTTTTTTTTTCATTTCCCGCCCTCATTCGAATTCGCGACGGCCAACAAAGGTGGACCAGCGCCGTCTGCAGGGACACAACTCGGTGGACCACCGTCAGCCCCACCCCCGCGTCCGCTTGTGCATATATAAATCGGGGCCGCGGGAGCCCCGAGGAATCATCCTCGGGGGTCGACTCCGAGGATGAGTGGAACGAAGGCGACAATTTCCTCGGGCGACCCCGAGGAATCGTCCTCGGGCCCCGAGGACGCCCCGAGGAGTGTCGAACAAGCCCCTTAGAAGAATTGGATGTACTGAGAAAATCACTACAGAAGCTTCAAAATTAGGCAAAATTCGGAAAACAGCTCAGAGACAACTCAGAGACCCCCCCCCATCATATCCTCTTAACCTTACTCCGGCAAGACTTACTGCAGCGGAGCCACCATCTCCACTGCTGCTGTGCCCTATTTCCATCCTACAAGCTAGCCCCCTCACTAGTAGGACGCTTGATAACCAACCACCTATTCATCCCACTCATGATGTATCCTGCTCAGGTAATTCTCTGGATTTCAGAGTAATCAATGGCCGGGAGAGGGAGGAACTAGCATGTAACAGCAGGCATCTGACGCCGGTTTCAGGGTGAAAAGGTCCCCCCCCCTCACCAATATCCTGCCCAGTCAATCCCGGGTTGCCAGGAGTCCTCCACAGTCGTTTTTCTGATATGCTCTGAATTCAAATTTGTATATGGGACGCTGGACCAGTTTTCCAGCAGGTGATGCTCCCCAAGAATAGCTGGAGCCGCTCCCCAGGTGGTAGTGGTGTCTGCTTTTATCAGCACCACTAACACAGAAGAGGGCGCTGGAAAAAAAAAAAAAAAAAGGAGCTTGGGGCTGGGGTCAGTAGATGCAACCCAGGCAGCCGTTCTCCTTTGAATTATCAGATCATATTTGAATCCTCGGTAGTGCTTCCTGTTTGAGTACCCCACGCAGTATTCACAAAGGGAGTAGTACAGCAAGCTAGTTGGGGTAGCGGAACATTCAATTCAGGCACCCTTGGGTGAAGAGGCCTACCAATTTGATGTATTGGAGGTTTTCTTTTTGGATGCATGGGACGCGGGACCCGGTTTGCAGCAGGTGCAGCTCCCCCCACCAATAGAATGGAGCCATTGAGCAAAAAAAAAAAAAAAAAACATCCACTGGCCCTGCAAATTTCAGATTTCATGAGTCATTTTTTTCTGAGCACACAAAATTGTGGAAATTGGGGTACCTTTCCCGTTGGCCCTCACGTGGTAGAGTGGCAAAAATGGAAAATATGAGGAATTGGCACAGCATTTATTTCACGGTTGAATGTTTTTTTTTAAATCCTGATATTTTCCCATGAAAGCTCACAATCCAATCTAGACGATCTCAAATTTTTAGATTTTTTCGTTAATTCTTCTGAGCACAAAAAATCACCAAAGTTGGCGCTTGAAATTAGCGGGATTGGGCCCGCCTGCACCTGCTGGTCGCCACCCCCCCTAAGAACCCCGTCCGTAAGGCCAGGAAGGCCGAATTTAGGCTGGCTTGGGGAGTGGTGGTTTAAACGAACATTTGGAAGCAGCCCACACTATTTCTTTCCCGCGCAGCTATGGCCATTTCTCATTGAAACTGGAACCACACGGGGGATTTCAGTTCCGTCTGTGTCCCCGCACTCAAGTTTTCCAAAAATTATTGGCACAACCCACTTTGCTGTTTTTTCAGGGCCTTTTCCGCTTTCTTTTTTCTTTTTTTTTTAATCACTCCAACCGGAAGACAGCACAGGGTGTGAGGTTGAACGTCACAGGTGCGCATGTTGGACCAGGAGCAAGAGGGGACGGGAAAGAGATGGCAACCTCAAAATAAAGGAGCACTGGTGGCCCCTGCACAGAATAACGACAATATAGACTGTAGCATCGTGGCGACGAGTGGTGGCAAGGGTAACAGATAGGAGAATGGCCTAGCCCAAGTCTAGGAATGTCCGTTCGCACAAAGGACGGTTTTGTTTACAGTCTGGACCAAGGGTTGGCATGGTCCGAGGTGATTAACACTGAGGTAGGACAGTAGGAATAGGGGGTGCGCTGGGAGAATGATGACAGGATGGGTCGGGAGGCGGTCTCACAAATGGAACGATTGTCAGGACAACCAATGGCCGGCTAGCGCAGCAACCACCATGTGTCTGGAACCTGGCCTCTGCAACAACCTGGACCTAAAAAAGAAAAAGATTAAAAAAAGGGTAACTTTGTTGTTATAATAGGGATGCTGGATCCGGTTTCCAGCAGGTGTTGCTCCCCACCAATAGGAGCCATCCGCCTGTCAAGCCCTCAATCCTGATGGTTCACTCGACACCATCCGGAGGCCTTGCAATGGGATGAATTCTTCCAAAAACAAAAAAGTAGGACAATCATTCAACAGTTCAGCAAAGACCGGCTGGGGGGGGGAGCAAGGGGGGGTTGGATTGGGAAGGTAGATGGAAGGCAGAAATAGGGGATGACCAGGGCAGAATTGTCAGGGACTACCACCTCAACTTCCATTTATGGAAAACGATTGACCCCTCCATCCCATTGAGACTTCTGTCAGATTCCCCCGAGTTATTTCCCCCACCCCCCCTCTCCCTCGTGGATCTGAAATGGTATGGGAAGGACTGGTCCAAATGTCGTACTTGTGAGCGTTTTTGCATGGACCAAGTTTCAACTATGGGAATGCTGGGGTTAGCCCACAGATTTTGGTGGTAGGAATGCCCACAGGTGTGCGGAGGCATCCCGAGCACCATATGCTTACCACACCGCTCAGTCAATCGTCTGGGTAACCCCGGGCAACAGATGCCGGCGGGAACGCAGACCTTTCTGATTATCATCTCTGTACAGGAGACGCTTGACCCGTTTTCCAGCAGGTGCAGCTTCCCCCCAACAGATGCAGTGCCTACGGGCATCTACTAGGGGAGGCTGCTTGTATCACCCCTTCTAGTGGGCGCCACTGGCCTGAAGGGGGAAAAAAAAAAAAAAAAAGGAAGAAGAAGAAGAAGATTGTGAGGTTACAGTCCACAACAGGCTGTTTCCATTATGAGGCTGTTTCAATTTGGATCTACTCATCTGGGTGGAAAAGGGGTTGTTCTGGTGACAATCCATAACACACACACCCAAGGATCGGCCTTTGCTCCTTGCTCATCCTCCTCCTCTTCTTCTTCTTCTTCTTCTTCTTCTTCTTCTTCTTGCGCCACTGCCCTGAAGGGAGAAAAAAAAAAAAAAAAAAAGGATGAAGAAGAAGAAGATTATAAGGTTACAGTCCACAACAGGCTGTTTCCATTATAAGGCTGTTTCCATTTGGATCTACTCATCTGGGTGGAAAAGGGGTTGTTCTGGTGACAGTCCATAACACACACACCCAAGGATCGGCCTTTGCTCCTTGCTCATCCTCCTCCTCCTCTTCTTCTTCTTCTTCTTCTTCTTCTTCTTCTTCTTCTTCTTCTTCTTCTTCTTCCTCCTCCTCCTCCTCCTCCTCCTCCTCCTCCTCCGCATGCGTGCACATGCCTGTGCTCTGTGTGCGCTGAGGGTGGGTCAGTGCACAAGCATCCATTGGCACGTCATTTTCACGTACACAAAATTAGACGCCCACATACACCCACACGCAACCATATCCAAACGTACATACACACAAACCAGGAGTGGCAGGAGGAGGAGGAGTCTGCAACTGACATACATTCACTCTCGCTCATCCTCCCCCCCTCCCGCTAAGGCTTCCCCTTCTTCTTCCCCTTCTTCTTCTTCTTCTTCTTCTTCTTCTTCTTCTTCTTCTTTGTGTTAATACGCTCATCTGTGTGTAAGTACACAAATCACTATTTTAGTATTCTGAGGCCAAGCAAACATAAGCGTGCACGCACACATGCCCATACACAACCACGCGAAGAAAAAGAAGAAGAGGAGGACAAGGACATGCACAATTTTCATGGGAGGAAGTGTGGCTACAGACGCACAAATACAAAAGAAGAAGAGGAGGACTGATGCAGAATTTCCGTGCACAGAAGTTGCGCACATCCTCACACATTCACAAGAAGCAGAAGAAGAAGAAGAAGAAGAAGAAGAAGAAGAAGAAGAAGAAGAAGAAGAAGAAGAAGAACAGGATGAGGAGGAGGAGGAGGAGCAGCAGCAGGAGGAGGAGGAGGAGGAGGAGGAGGCGGAGGAGGGCAAACGCATGTGACAAATGTCGGGCGCCGGCCCCCTCCCACTTGTCCTTACTCCTGCTCAGACTCTTTGTCCGACTCTTGCTCCTCTTCCTCCTCGTAAGAGTCTGACCGAACCCACCTTTGCTGAGGGATATGCTCACTCCCCGGTTTCTGGGTATAGGCACAAGTTGGGTGGGTATAAATGGTGGGCCAAAAAAAAAGAAAAAAAAAGAAAAATGGTGGGCCGCTGGCACTGGGCAAACTGATACCTTGCAACCCGGGCCCACGAAAATGGTGTATAACAACAAGTTTTCCGGGGGCCCCACGGGACCACCAGAAGCCGGCGGCCGGCCTGTGGCCGGAACAAAGCAGCAATTCCCCATACAATTCTCTCGGAAAAAACAAGGTGCACGATAGTGGAGATCGTGGTGATGGTTAACTTTGGCAGCCATGGGCTACGAGTGCACACCCTAGAGAGGAATACCTTCGCAATACCGGTTCTCCTCAACTTGACCAGGAGATTGGAACGTAGTGAAGAGGAACACCATTGGCAGTGGGCAACTGTAAGACGCAAGTCTGCAATGATGGTGACGATCATGATGAGAAAAGACGACGACAGCGCCCAGATCAATGACAATCCCCTGTGTCAACCGACGCAGCCTCTCTGAAAACAACTTAGAAAACTGCAAGACACCAAGAACATGCGGAAGGGACGAGTCGGACAAGGAGTCAAAGATAACACGCCCGCATGCCCGCATTGAAAACGGAAAACTCATCTCTCTCTCTCTCTCTCTCTCTCTCTCTCTCTCTCTCTCTCTCTCTCTCTCTCTCTCTCTCTCTCTCTCTCTCT